ATATATGTGTGTGTGTGTGCGTGTGTGCATGTATATATATATATATATATATATGTTTTCGTTTGGTTGTATTTTGTATGACATTTACCATACTTCCCCCTGAATCCGGTGTGAGTATGGAAGTATTGTATGTACCATGCATACAGAGTATAGAGTGACAATTGTGCAATTGTAATTACAACTGACACCCAGGTAGTCTTTGAAAAGGCAAGACGTGTGCTCTCCAGATCGATATTTGTACCAGGAGAGTACATAGTGTATTTTTAGTCAAGCCTGCGAGATATGCTCGTGTGTCTAGTTCGGCAGTGGATTGAAATGCTTACTAATGCTAATAAATTACTACTACTAATGAACTACTACTGCTATTGAACTACTATTACTAATGAGTTATCACTGCTATTGAACTACTATTACTAATGAGTTATCACTGCTATTGAACTACTATTACTAATGAATTACTACTGCTCATTCACCTTCCTCACCCTACTCCCATACCACAGTTGACCAGTGCTACGCTCCAAATCTTCGAAGTCTTGCTGCAGAGGTTCACCCCTCACACCTACGGCAACCTGGTGCTGCGCAATTTCCCAGACGGCACCTTTACACAAGCCAATAGCCCAGGCATCATCGCGGCCTGGGAAAAAGTAGAACTGTATGTGTCTTAGAATAGTTGGGTCAGAGGGTATTTGTATGTGTGCCAAATTAAGGTGTACGTGTGTTCCTCAATGGAGTGGCGTGATATGGGCGGTGATGGTTGCAGACGGGGTTTCCCAAACCAGTGACCATGTGTGTGTGATTATCGCAGCCTGGGATAAAGTAGAACTGTAGGTGCGTTATAATAGTTAGGTCAGCGTTATCTAGTCATCCCTAACCAGTGACCATGTGTGTGTGATCATCGCAGCCTGGGATAGAGTAGAACTGTAGGTCCCTTAGAATGATTAGGTCAGCGTTATCTAATCATCCCCAGCCAGTGACCACATGCGTGCGTGTCTGTCGCCAATGCACAGCGCCACAAATCTTCGGTATGGCTAAGTTGAGATTGGTTAGTTGAGATTGTTAATTCGGTATGGTTGAGTTGAGATTGTGTCTGCTATTGTACATGCCCGTGGAATGCTGGCTCCTGTACTGAGCATATTCCCCAGGTAGGCATTGGCTTTGGCACCTCGGCTGACTGATAGCAAGTGCAATGTTTTTATGGGATGTCCGTAGGTGGACCCAACTCGTGCCCAGCGAACTCAGACCACTCAAGAGCGAGGACGAGGAAGATGATTACCACAACTACTACCTCGAGGCACAGAAACACGTATGTTGCAGCTGCAAACGTTATTCCAACTGGCACGCATTTGCTATATGTAATGAATTACCAGTGACCACTGCAACTACTACCTCGAGACTCAGAAACACGTATACTGCAGCTGCAAACGCTATTCTATCTGGCACGCATTTGCTATCTGTAATGAATTACAAATGACCACTACAACTACTATCTCGAGGCACAGAAACATGTATGTTGCAGCTGCAAACGCTATTCTATCTGGCGCGCATTGCTATATGTAGTGAATTACCAGTGACCACAACAACTACTACCTCGAGACACGGAAACACGTATTTTCAAATCAATGAGTATCCATCCGATGGCGTGTAGGTCTATATTGACGATACATTATTTGGAATGCGATTAATCATTGAATTCGTTCGGCGTTTTAGATTCTCTTTTCTGTTCCTCAACGGGGTATATATATATATATATCGGCCGTGGTATCGCTTTCTATTTTTAAATATTGCTTTTCTGCATCTATTCCTAATTTAACTATACATTTGTTTAATTTCCAACAGGCAGCTGACTGTGCTGCAGCGAAAGCCAAGTGGTGCGGTTCTGCCGGTGGATTGGGTCAGGTATGAAATGTATTATTTGATACATTATGATGCAAGAATTTCACTCGCTCTAACAATCTCAAGAGTCATGCACAGGTTCAATACCTAGATGCAAATATGTAAAAAGTGTCGTTTTAATGAGTTATCGTTGCATTCGTCAGATACAATATATATATATATATGTGTGTGTGTGTGTGTGTGTGTGTGCGTGTGTGTGCGTGTGTGTGTGTGTGTTTGCGTGTGTGTGTTTGTGT